GCAACAACAAAAATAACAACAGAAAAACAACAATAACAAAAACAACAACAGCAAGTCTTTAGAAAAACAACAACAACAAAAACAACAACAGCTGACCATATATCGAGGGCTTTTATTGCTGCTGGCTCTCTCCAAACGCCTCCACAGATTGTCCTCCAGACTCACAGAGAACGGCAGCGCTTGTAAGTGAAAAGGCGTGGACGCTCCATGGTCACACTGATATTTTAAAAAGAAAAAAAGATATTTTTCGGTCAAGCTTGAAGATCACACTGAAATGGTCGCTTTTAAGGACAAGTGGGCTAACCCAGATTTCGGGGGTTTCCAGAAATCTTGACCTACACAACAGCAGGCATTGCCCTACCTATAGGAGAAGTTTGGTTTCATTGGTGTCTATATATATATATATTTGTTTGGTTATAGTGATAACTCTCCTTGCCTTTCAACAAAGATACTGAACAAGGGTCCAAAAACTTTACCTTCGATTAAAATTTTCAAAACAGCATTTTTTGGGATAGAGTCTAGCCCCTGGTGCTGAAAAGCTACCAAATATATTAACATAAATTATTCGTCATGCTACTTTGTCACACTGAAATAGAAAAATAGAAAACATATTCGCCATGCTCAAAAGTACTGAATATATAAAACCATAAAATATTCCTGCAGCCAATTTTAAAAGTACAATAAAATAATATGCAGTTTTAACAATTTTACAGTAGAGCCAAAAAAATTGAATGCTGTTACCAAGAAAACAAAATTTGCTAGAAAATAAGGAAGCATTAGTCAAAATTGTCTTCTTAAAAATATTCACTTGGGATGTTTGCAAAGAGTTTGTTATCTAAAATTCTTGGTAAGCAACATTAAGCTTTTGGGGGGGTGGGGGGGTGGGGCTCTCCTGTAAAATTGTAAGAACTGCACATATACAATTTTTATTTATATGGTATTTGTCATGCATAATGATCACACTGAATTAAATACACTAATATAAATTATTTGTCTTGCTTCACAATCACACTGAAATATAATTCTGGTCATTCGACAACACTTGAAGACATGCAGTTTTAGAGTACGGTACTTTAAAAGAGAAGCATAGTTTTGTTACTCTTACAGATTCTTCAATTCTTATTTTCTGTATATGTGTGGGCGGTTGACCTGTGTTCTGGCGTGGTTTGCTCCTTCTTTCCTATCAAACATCTATCGTCCTTATCCCTCCTACTTCTTTTTTTTGTGTTTGTTACTCTCTTGCAACACCTCTAATCTTCAGCACTTATTTTTTTTATATTATTATATATATATATATATGACCTTCCTGTGCTGCAAGTTCTTTAAAACTCTTACTAAAACAAAACGTTTCATGTATCCAAAATTCCAAAAGTCAGACAACAACATGTCTACTATGTAAATTAAATAAGCAGATTTGTATTTTTCAGATTTCTGTACGTTTCTAAATGTGCCACAACGTTGTCTTTCACCTGCTGCTGACTGGACAAAGGTGTCTGCTACATCTTTAAAGGGTAAAAAAAAGTAAAATGAGAAAATTCAATTGTGAAAAAAGTTTTACAGAAAGAAAGAAAGAAAGAAAACAAAAGAAAGAAAGAAGAAAGAAAGACAACAACAACAAAAAAGAAGCCACCTGTACAAAGTAGACAATGGTCCAGCCTCTGTCTCCACAGCACCGTGTAAGAAAGAAAGAAAGAAGGAAAGAAGGAAAGAAAGAAAGAAAGAAAGAAAGAACAACCTGTACAAAGTAGACAACAGTCTGCTGGCCTCTAGCCTCTGTATCAACAGCACCATGTAAGAAAGAAAGAAAAAGAAAGAAGAAAGAAAGAAGAAAGAAAGAAGAAAGAAAGAAAGAAAGAAAGAAAGAAAGAAAGAAAGAAAGAAAGAAAGAAAGAAAGAAGGAGAGAAAGGAAAAAAGAAAGAGAGAGAAAGAAAGAAAGAAAGAAGGAGAGAAAGGGAAAAAAAGAAAGAGAGAGAGAAAGAAAGAAGAAAGAAAGAAAGAAAGAAAAAAAGAAAGAGAGAAAGAAAGAAAGAAGAAAGAAAGAAAGAAAGAAAGAAAGAAAGACAGACAGACAGACAGACAAGAAAAAAGAAGAAACCACCTGTACAAAGTAGGCAATGGTCCGCTGGTCCTCCAGTCTCTGTCTCCACAGCACCATGTAAAGCTCCTCCAGCAGCGCCAGCGAAGAAATGAACAGGTCTGACACAAACATGACCACCAGGTCCGCCGATTGCAGCTGACCCCAGCGCTGCGTGGGGTTGGACGGTCGCAGGTGGCAGGTGAGCCCCGGAGCTCGCTGCTTCATCACCGCACACATAATGGCCGCCAGCTTTGAGCAATCCTCCGCAAAGCTATAAACAACATCTCCTTGTAGAAGCCGAATAAAAAAAAATTATGAATTTTAAAAACTTAGCACCCAAATAAAAAAGTAATTGGGAGAAGCAATTAATGAATAGCTTGTACCGTATTGATGGTGGCGTATTAAAAGTGAATATGAGACGTACATTGACAAAATAAAAATAATCATCATCATCATCGTCATCACCATCATCACCATCGTCACCATCACCATCGTCACCATCACCATCATTGCGTTAAATATTTTGATAAGAAAAAACAAAAAGTTGATGGAAATATGAGCATTTAAAGTTTTATGACATTGTAAAATACAGAAAACATGGATAGCTTGAATTCACCGGGACCGGCTTCGAGGGATCCGTAGTTTTTTAAGTTTAGTTTTTGTGAGGTTTTACGGCGCTCGCAACTGCATAAGGTCATAGGAGCGACAAGGGGTGGATGTCAACAGAGACGTCCAACATCAAGAGCATCATTAAGTCGGCTTCGACTATCAAGGCACCCCGGAACTAGCAATTCACAAGAGAGAGACAAACATATAAAGAGCAAGGAAGAGGAAAGATAAAGCAGCAGTTACCCCTGTGTCGTTCCGGCACAATTATGAGCATGACAGCAGCTAGACAGTCAGTCCAATGCCGCTCACAAACTGTGCAGTCCACTTTAAATCTGAGAGACTGCCTTAGAGTTTTCTCTCAAGAGGAGTCACATTCTGCCACGTCTGTGTACGAAGGGTGGCGTAGCGTGGGCAGTGCTGAAGGATATGGTTAGTATTCTCTTGGTCGTATCCACATTCACAGATCACGGACTCTCCAACTTTTAATTTAGAAAAACCTGTAAATATCCCCCCTTTGGGAGTGGCCCAAAGACACTTCAATCAGTAGCACTGCCCTGAGGGGGACAGACAGATCCCTAGTTTGAGGGATATCTAACAAATATAAAGAAGGAAAAAAAAAAACCTGACCGCAGGAATAGTTCAACAGATGCGTGAGTTCCAGTCTTCTGTTTTCTACCTATCCGTGTTCTACTGTTCGTTTAAAATTTCTTCCGGAACATGATAAAAAAACATCATCATCATCATCACCATCATTTTTATTGCATGTTATAAATAACCAAGACAGGCAGATTCAATACAAGGAAGGAAAACTTCACGTGTTCCCTCGAACCATCTACCGATACGGTACATGAAGAGAAAAAACTATTTCATACGATTTGCCAGGAAGAATCGTTTCAAAGGTTATTGGTTTTGTCTATGAAATATGAGCAGCTTTTCTTTACACCAACTGGCCTACAAGTAGCGTTTTTACATGAGATTATGTAAAAAATGTTGGTCCACAAAAACTTTTCTCAGGAATCGAACTCGGGACTCCTGCGTGAGACAGCAAAGCGCCGAACCGCTACACTACAGATGCCAGTGGGCCTACTGTGACAAGGAGTGGGGCACCAATGGCATAAACTGCCACAGTGACAGGTGACAAGTAAGATGTGGACAGGTGGCAGATGAAGACAGGTGGCAGTGACATGTAACAGGAGAGAAGTAGACAGGTGCCAGGTGACAAGATAGATGTAGACAGGTTACAGATGACAAGATAGATTTAGACAGGTGACAGATGACAAGATAGATGTAGACAGGTGACAGGTGACAAGATAGATGTAGACAGGTTACAGATGACAAGATAGATTTAGACAGGTGACAGATGACAAGATAGATGTAGACAGGTGACAGGTGACAAGGGAGATGTAGACAGGTGACAGGTGACAGATGACAAGAGAGATGTAGACAGGTGACAAGTGACATGACAGATGAAGACAGGTGTCTGGTGAGAGGTGAGATGAAAACAGCGGCAATAACAAGAAGAGCACCTACCACTTTTCACTTCCACAGACATCGTGGAATTTCTGACCACTTGACCTCCCTCCAACCGGAACCTCCTCTTGAAATCCGCCGCTCTCCTTTCTTGGAGTTTTTGCTTGAAGATGAGTGCACTACAGAGCTGTTGCCAGAAAATCCACAGGTTTTTTAAATAGTTTTAGTAAGTCTCTCAGAATCATCATGATCATCGTCATGATCATTATCATCATCATCATCATCATCATCATCATCATCATCATCATCATCATCATCATCATCATCATCACCAGTGACAGAAATATGGCAATGTTTGACCCATGATAAGAGATATCTTGAGCACAGCCTGTACCTTTTCATTATGGAAACTTTATTTAACAAATGAGTGTTTTGTATGGCGTGATGTGGGTCAATGGCCTTTAACACTGAGTAAACTTACTGAGAAACTTTATTTTTTTGGTCCTGTGTCCTGATTTTGGTGCCGATATTTTTAGGTTACGTAAAAATGTATTGACATTGTGCAAATTGTTATGTTTCTCGAAAAAAGAAACAAGAAAAGCACAACAAGAAAAAGAGGAATTGCTGTGTATAATATATATTTTCTGGAAACACAACAAGGTCTTAACTGTTTTAATACCTTCTTTATACAATGATGATGATGATGATGATGATGATGATGATGATGATGATGATGATGATGATGACGACGACAACGACGACGACGACGATGATGATGATGATGATGATGATGATGGTAATACCAACGATGATGATGTTGATGATGATAATGATTTTTTTTTGTTTCCTTAATGGGCCTGACGGACTCCACGAAGAAATCTTCAAGCGAGAGCGAGGCTCTTTTTCGGTTCCATTGTCAATATGCTTAGCGGCACCTCCACTCGTCCAAATAACTCCATTCAAATTGCCATTGTTCCTGGACATTCAAACATATGTTTGACATCCTCCTTTTCATGGCCGCATCTTCAGCAACATGGGCTGAGCTCTTCATTTACAAAGTTCTTATACCATCTTAAACTCCAATGATGGTCCGACCACAGTCTCGCTAGCTCAACCTGGTCCCAGTGACATGTGATAGATTTTTGTTCCTGCTTACTGGAGTACCCAGAATACACATCTTCCAGGTGCTGGTACTTAGTTCTACATGGTGGGTCTCTGATTTCCCTCTTGATCATTGGAAAGACTCCTCTGTATGTTGTTGGTCGTCTGTCTCCTTCAATCTCTCTGGCTTCATGAGCAGCTTGGTCTGCTGCCTCATTTCCTTCTATTCCAAAAAGGCTTGGAATCCACTGGATTTTTATTGTGGCTCTGGCTTCACTGAACTAGCTGCGCAAATCATTCATGTCTGTGCTGTTGCCCAGCAGCCCCTTGCAGAGAGACTGACTGTCAGTCAAGATCAGCACATTGGTCCTACTGTGGCCATTGTCAGCAATCCATTGTGCAGCAGACATCATTGCCTGGCATTCCTCATCACAAGATGATGTAAGGAATGCACCTTTAGTTTTAATACTTTCTGTTCATGGTGGTTCATCATTCATTATCACCACTGCTGCTGCTCCACCTTCGCGGTATCCTGCGACAGCCGATCCATCGGTGAAAATTGTCACATCCGCACCAACCCCTTTGATCACATCCTCAGCTGCTTCACGTGCCTTTACAGGATCATCACCTTTTCCTTTCACTCCTCTCAGTTCTGTCCAAATTTCGATTTCGCCAGGGGTCTCCCATGGACAAGCTCTCACCAGATTGATCGGCCATCGATTCTCTGCTTCAGGGGGGAGGTGGTCTGCTAGATCGGTGCCCATCCGAAACCAACTTTTCCTGCTGTTTTTAGGCTTGACTGCTTGATCAAGGGCTTTCTTTTTAGGATGGTTGTCTGGTAATCTCTTAGCCATCTCTACAGACTTGAGGCATGTTCTTTTTGTATAGTTGGTGTAGTGCTCAGTTCTGGTCTCATAGCACAGCGCTTCTGTTGGTGTTGTTTTCAGCTGACCTGATACAAGTTGGAGGGCTTTGTTTTGTATTCTGTCCAGGGCCTTTGCCCTGGTCTCACTCAGCCAAGGCTGCCACGCTGGGGCAGCATAATCCATCTTGCTTTTCACAAACATCTGATATACTTTCTTAAGCGACTCCTTACCCCAGCCCCATTTTGAGTTGCTGACAGCACCGATAACCTTCATTTTTGAGTTTGCACTTTTGGACACCTCCTCAATGTGCTTGTTGAAGGTCAGCTGTCTATCCAGGTAGACGCCCAGCAGACGTGGAGTGGGGTTGAATGGTATCTTTTTCCCTTCAATCTGAATTATTGGTTGCCACGTTGCCTCCTTCACCCATGTTGAGAAGAAGCACACTTCACTCTTGGTTGCTTTCAAGGTAATTTTCCAGTCATTGCTCCATTTCACAACCATGTCCACAATCAACTGAGTCGCTTCATTTGCTTTTTCTCTCTTTGCGTGACTGGCCAGTATTGTGCAGTCATCAGCGAACATTGAGTAGATCAGCTTGGTGGAGGTTAGTTGTTGTGAGTCAGGGTTTGGGAGGGATTCTGCCAGGTTGTCTATGAAGAATATAAACAACAGCAGTGATTGATGGGCTTGTTGCCAAAGGACAGATCTTCTTGATGTCTTTTCCCTGATTGGCGAGTAGAGGTGCCTCTTTGCAGTGACTTTTGGTACACAAAGTGGCAAGCTGTCCCCTTCATGATGGGGAGTACCGTTCTCAACTAAGACAGCCACAACCAATGGGGAAGCTCTGATGATGATGATGATGATGATAATGATGATGATGATGATGCCGATGATAATGATAGTAATAACAATAATAATAATACCACCTACGATGAGGATGATGATGTAATCACTAGTCATACCACGAATACCTCAAGGGTCCATAACTCTAGGATCGCAGAGATACTTACACTCTGACGCAATTTCATTCTCATCACCATATCCGCCAACTTCTCTGCCAGCAGAGCTATCTCCCCCGTGCCGCTGCCCATGTCAATGCACGGAATGCTTGTGAATCTCCGGGGCACCGTCTCTAAGGCATTGGTGTGAACAGGAATGAGGAGAACAGAGTCCTGTTTGTTTGAGTAAAGAGAAGCACATCAATGTATACAATAATGGTCATTCAGTGCTGGAAAAAAGTGAGATTTGAGTAAAGAGAAGCACATCGATACAGTAAGGGTCATTTAGTGCTGGGAAAAAGTGAGATTTCAGTAAAGAGAAGCACATCGGTACAATAATGGTCATTTAGTGCTGGGAAAAAGGTAAGACATGTTTGTTTGAGTAAAGAGAAGCACATGGCGCTCACATGACCTTGTGCAGTTGTGAGCACCGTAAAAACTCTACTAAAAGTAAAGAGAAGCACATCGACACAATAATGGTCATTTAGCGCTGGAAAACAATAAGACAGACAGACAGAAATAACAGAGGGATAGTAAAGAAGTAGGACCTACCATTGGCACTCTCCAACCACCCGCACAGAATCCCGAACACACAAACGAAACAAAAGTGTGGATAGAAAGAAGGAGAACAGAGGCCTGAACATACAAACTAAAGGGCCAGTCATATAAAGAGGCTCACGTAATGCGGAGATGATGACCTACTGAAAAAAAATTTTAAGCAGTGATAGAGCCATTTTTTATTCTTTTTTGTTAGTAAAAAAAGGTACGTATATTATAAATTTAACACCCTTATCAACACTCTTAGGATAATGAAGAGGTGGGACCTCCGAAATTAACATCTGTCTCCAATTAGACTGAGCCAAAGGGGTTGAGAGCTTTGAGAACTCCATAAAACGACCCGAGTTTAAGAACGCCCAGTTTAGGGTTCAGACCAGGGCCATCCACTTGAGTATTTTGGTCTTTCTGCTGGGATGTTGTATCCCTCTCAGCCAGGGTTGGCCCTGAAGGCAGGCAGGGTCAGAAACCTGCCTCCAAAAATGATTGGAATTTGGTTGATAAAAGCGTAAAAACACTTACATTTAAAAAATGAATAAACAAAAATAATTTTTTTCCAAAAGAACAAATTAGCCCTCACAATCTCACTCACTTGAGCATAATGTCTCGCCAGGACAATGTTGAACTCTTCATTGCACTGTGAAGACTGAATGTAGCCAGGGGAGAGAAACGCTACCATACAGTGGGTCTTATCTGCTGCAATGTAGGTCTCTTGAAGCCCTGAACTGCCTGCAGAAATTTTTTGTGAAATTTCACAATCTATTTAATATCTTTTAAAACCTCAATACATATACCTAATGACCAATATTAAGGCAATGATTTTCATCATGCAACTTTAAACAGAAATTACTTTTGGAGTAGCTTTTAAAAAACAAAACATTGTCTATGTGTGACTGATAAGGTACCTTGCATAAATAGAAGGCCACACACAGCTGTCAGCTTTACAGTTCGAGCCTCTCTCCCCCCTCCCACCCCCACCTATTTACACCGAATTTGAATATTTTAACTTTTTAGCATTTTAAAGTAAATTAGTTACCAGCCGTGAAGTGAACTTTCGCAGAGGTGAACAACTTGTGTTTCGCGCGCTCATATGACCTTAGCAGTTGCGAGCGCCGTAAAACCTTATACTACTACTACTACTACCCCCA